AACTGAAATTTAAACCTAGACACTCCTCATTCTCAGGAAATCTCAGTCTAATAAGGGACGAAATGCCCAAGAAATTAAAATATTAGGCAAAAATATAAGTGCCACAAGAGAGGTTAGAAGATGCTATCAAGATTCAGAGGAAGGAAAAAACATATCTAGGTACTGGCACAAAAATAGAGCCATTGACCAGTGGAACAGAACTGAGAACCCAGATATAAAACCGTCCTCATATAGCCACCTAATCTTTGACAAAGCAGACACAAACATACACTGGGGAAAAGAATCCTTGTTCAATAAATGGTGCTGGGAAAACTGGATAGCCACATGTAGAAGACTGAACCAGGATCCACACCTTTCACCTCTCACAAAAATCAACTCACGCTGGGTAACAGATTTAAACCTAAGGAGTGAAACTATTAGAATTCTAGAGGAAGATGTTGGAAATACTCTTCTAGACATTGGCCTAGACAAAGAATTTATGAAGAAGACCCCAAAGGCAATCACAGCAACAACAAAAATAAATAAATGGGACCTGATCAAATTAAAAAGCTTCTGCACAGCAAAAGAAACTGTCACAAGAGCAAATAGACAACCTACAGAATGGGAGAAAATTTTTGCATGCTACAAATCTGATAAAGGGCTGATAACCAGAATCTACTTAGAACTCGGGAAAATCAACAAGAAAAAATCAAACGACCCTATCAAAAAGTGGGCAAAGGACATGAACAGAAACTTTTCAAAAGAAGACAGAATAATGGTCAAAAAACATATGAAAAAATGCTCAACATCTCTAATCATCAGGGAAATACAAATTAAAACCACAATGAGATATCACTTATCTCCAGTGAGACTGGCCTTTATCAAAAAGTCCCAAAACAATAAATGTTGGCATGGATGCGGAGAGATAGGAACACTCATGCACTGTTGGTGGAATTGCAAACTAGTGCAACCTCTGTGGAAAGCAATATGGAGATATCTTAAAGAGATACAAATAGAAGTACCATTCGATCCAGCAATCCCATTACTGGGCATCTACCCAAAAGAGCAAATGATACTGTATAAGAAAGACACCTGCACCCAAATGTTTATAGCAGCACAATTCACAATTGCAAAGATGTGGAAACAACCCAAGTGTCCATCAATACATGAGTGGATTAATAAAATGTGGTATATGTATACCATGGAGTACTATTCAGCTTTAAGAAACAATGGTGATATAGCACCTCTTGTATACTCCTGGATAGAGCTGGAACGCATTCTACTAAGTGAGATATCCCAAGAATAGAAAGACAAGCACCACATGTACTCACCATCAAATTGGTATTAACTGATCAACACATAAGTGCACATATAAGAATAACATCTATTGGATGTTGGGCAGGGGGGAGGGGGGAGAGGGAGGAGGGGGAAGGGGACGGGTATATGCATACACAAAGAGTGCAATGCATACCACCTGAAGAATGGACATATTTGAAACTCCGACTTGGGGGGAAGGGGGGGCAAGGGCAACATACGTAACCTAAACATCTGTACCCCCATAATATGCTGAAATAAAAAAAAAAGAAAAAACATATCTAGCTAGAAAGCTTGATAAGTATTGAGATGTCGTGGCTCATGCCTGTAATCCCAACACTTTGGGAGATCACTTGAGGCCAGGAGTTAGAGACCAACCTGGGTGACATAGCATAGACCTGCATCTCTACAAAAAAAAATAGAAGTATTTTATTTTATATCCACTCTATGCAGGATACTGTACTAGACGTTGAGAATATAACAATGAGTTCTAAGAAACACCCTGTCCCCAGGGAGTTATAATGTTTAGGACACAGAGCTATGTACTTCGTATGCCTGGAATATGGGAGACTTGGGGCAATATTTTAGAAAGTATTTGTGGCCAATCTATTCCTAGTTCACTCTGGAAACCTAAACCTGAGCCTGGCACAGAGTCTTGAAACTGTCTTTTGCTGTAAATAGGCACAGGTGGAATTAAGGGCTTCCTCTGTAAAAATATCAGATTTCATTTTCAGAATTCCTACCGTGCTTTCCCAGTTTGGATACTGTCTTGGGAAAGATGAAAACATCTTTAATGAGGCCTTTTTTATTCAGAGAGGAAGGGTCAAAGAGTGAACTTCATGGGCATTAGAGTAAGATGACCTATATTTGGATCCTACGTCCTCCATAGTGTGCCCTTGGGAAAGTTATGTTACTTCAGTTGCCTCATTCATAAAATAGAGTTTAAAATATCCTCACAGGGCTGTTTTAAGAGTTAAATGAAGTACATGTCTAAAGTGATTTAACACAGTGACTAGGGTATAGTAAACCATTCAAAACAGCCACTGTTGTTATTATCAGTTGTGATAATACTTTATAGAACTTTCTCCACAGGCAGCATTGTGGCCCTGCTTTGAGTATTCTCTCAGTGAATGTGTCTGTGCTCCCAAAGTATAACTTTGAAACCTCCAGGACTACCTTAGATGACTTTATTTAAGTATGCATGAGGACATTTACCTCACACTGTGACACAGGATCAGAAAATTACAAAGTCAGATATAATCAAAGTACTCACTGTATTTCTGCTTTTTTTATCCTGTGTTTAGAGCACTTGACCTAGGTGCCAACATGTGTCTCTCTTTTCTCCCATGCTCTCAGCCTGAACTCCCTGCTTAGTTCTTGGCCTCCTGTTTATTCAAATCCCTGCCTCACTGCCATTTTGCCCTTTCTTCTGTGCAATAATACATGCTTGGCCTTTCTCCTCTTGTCAGACTCCTTCCCACCATTAAAACAGCTCCTGAAAATATAGCAGAAGCCTTCTAAGGGGTTGATAAGAAAATTGATCCTACGCCTTGGCCTTCCCCATGTCCTCCACAGAAAGGACGTGCAAACTAAAAATGAGGGAGACCCTGGATACAGAAAACAGGAGCACCCGGGAGGTGACAGGAACTCCCAGGACCATAGTGAAAGGCATTCCCAAAATGCTAGCTGTGCACACCAGATGACAGAAGTCCCGACGAGGCTCTGAGACTTCTTTCAGAAGATGAAATGGATAATATACCTCTCCTTTTTGAGAGGAAATTTAGACAATTGATGAAGAGTTTAAGGTTGGGTTAATAAGTAGTAAGTTAAAAACTGAGGTAAGGGAAAAAAAACAAAACATGAACTCTAGAAAAAACAAAAAGTTGTACAGGAAAGGAAAACGAATGATACTTTACTATATGGCTTAGCTCTGAATAGCATTTACAAATTCATAATAATATAAAATTTGATAGTAATCTTACTGAAATTATGATATCATTACATTAGAAGGTATTAGAAGGAGGGGGGTATGTATGTGTTGGGGGGAGGGAGAGGAAAGAGGACTAAATCCTCTTCCATAGTGGAAAGTCAATAGATAACACTCCAAACTGAAAAAGCAAGAAGCAACAAAACAAGCATATTATTTAGAAACATGGAGGTAAATACCCAAATACTCAGCCAAAAGAGCAATTGCATTTGCAGAGGAAGAACTACAAGAGGTAAGCAGGGGACTGTACTTTTTTTTTGAGACAGAGTCTGGCTCTGTTGCCCTGGCTAGAGTACCATGGTGTCAGCCTAGCTCACAGCAACCTCAAACTCCTGGAGTCGAGCGATCCTCCTGCCTCAGCCTCCCGAGTAGCTGGGACTACAGGCATGCGCCACCATGCCCGGCTAATTTTTTCTATATATTTTTAGTTGTCCGATTAATTTCTTTGTATTTTTAGTAGAGACAGGGTCTCGCTCTTGCTCAGGCTAGTTTCGAACTCCTGAGCTCAAACAATCCGCCCGCCTCGGCCTCCCAGAGTGCTAGGATTACAGGCGTGAGCCACCGCGCCTGGCCTGTACTTTTTTTTGTGCTTATCGTACAGAACTGTTTGACTTTCTAAACTTAATGCCAGTGTAACCTTAATAAGAAATTAAAACAAAAACAGGAAAAACACAAATGCATCGTTATAAAGGCTAGAAAAGAAGGAGAAAGAATAATAGCTGGAGGGGAGAAAAATAGGTTACAAATTTTATTTATTTTTGAAAATATGGTTGTGTGAACAAGGAAAAATTTTGGACAGATATACCAAAATACTTATTATCTCTGGATTTAGAGTATTTTTTCTTTCCTTTTTAATACTTTTCTGAGCTTTTTTCAGTGGAACATATATTACCTTTGTAATCAGACAGAAAATCTATTTCATAGTATGGAAAAGGGAAACATTTAGAAATATAAAAGAAAAACTGTGTACAAAGGTGTTCATTATACCATTGCTTATAGTAATAAGAAATCGGAAGCCATTTGTCTACAGGAAATGGGCAATAAATTATGTGTAAACCTAGTAAAGTATTTTACAGGTGTAATTTTTAAAAGGAGGCTGTAAACGACTTTATACTCACGTATCATATGATTTTCACCTTTAATCAGGCTGCGTCCTCTGCTAAAATGCCCTTTTCCTTCCTTCGCCTTCCTTTACATTGCTATTTTCCTTAACGTTTCATCGTTCAAGAAGCTCTCTGACAACCACCATCACCTACCCACCCATTCCACTCTCCATCCCAGCTGCTTGAGTTACTTCATTCTGAATCTTCAGAGTATTCTGAACAAATACTCTCTATCTGCATTTATCACCTAATATTATAATTATCTGTTTGTCTGTCTTCCCTACTAAAATTTAACCTTTTTGAAAGCTGGGATTGGGTCTTATTCATTTGTATCACTTCAATACAAAGCAGAGGGTGTAATAAATAGTAGAATGCTTAATAAATGTTTGCTGGATAAAATGATGAATAATGTGAAAATCTTCTTGTGTTATCATGTTATGTAGATTAGGGAAAGTAGTGCCTACACTTAGGGTCATGTGAGGATTTGATAGGGAAATTCACGTAAAGCAGCGAGCATAAAGGCAAGCACATAATTGTCCAGTGAATAGTAAGGACGAAGATGGTCTTGATCATGCTAAGAACAGTAATAAGTGTTATGTATTTTTTGTTTTCAACAGAGAGTTGTACGGGCCTTGGACCTTGTGGATGGCTTTTGGTGATTTTCTCATTCTTATTCACAGTTGTAACTTTCCCAATATCAATATGGATGTGCATAAAGGTAAAAAACATTTCATTCACATCTGGAAAGGGGTCAACTCCTACCTACGTAAACCCACTTTGTGTATGTCAAAGAGAGACTATACTGGCCTATAATTCTTATTTCTTCATCTCTCTTTTGGAAAATTTATTCTACTCCCTTATTATAATAGCATCTTAAAACTTTTCAGCCATTGTCCAATCGATCCTTCCCCATGGGTTAAAGTGAGGATCACCATCACAAATTTTCTGGGGTCAGGGATCTGAAATGGTCCTGTGAGAACAAATTCTCCAGAGTTAGGATGGTGAGATTTGACTACTGGCTTTATTGTTTACTATGTTACCTTTACCATGTTTCCTCACTTGTAAAATGAGAGAAAATAATAGTATCTACTTCATGTGACTGTTGCAAGGATAAAATGAATTTGTGTGTCTAAATTACTTATCACAGTGCCTGGCACATAGTAAGTGCCCTCAGATGCTGGTAATGTTTTCTATAAGGCAGTTAATACTTGGATAAATGACCATCATTTACATGTCCTTGAAAAGATAAAATTTGTTCTAAGCATTTTCAGATAAATTTATTCTTATAATTAAAGGAATCGGAAGAAAATCTTCGAGGACTTCAGGGTTTTGTTTTTTTTTTTGGAATTAACAATGATAAGTAATTTAATAATGTTAACAGCTGAGGAGTGAGCTTATGTATACTATTCTGTACTTTCCAAATTTATACGATGAATATCTATTGCTTTTATAATCAGTAAAAAAATTAAATAAATATTATGCTTTGAGAAGGTAAACATCGGACATGTTATTTATAGATATTATCTGGATACAGAAAAAAATATGAGACATTTAACCTGTTTAGAGCAGAAATACATATTTAAGAGTCTGTGCGTGTAAATATGTGTACTACTCATGTTAAATTATCATTCGTGTTTTTATTCTAGATCATAAAAGAGTATGAAAGAGCCATCATCTTTAGATTGGGTCGCATTTTACAAGGAGGAGCCAAAGGACCTGGTCAGTACTAGGATTCCGACTTGTTTCTTTTTGTTGATGTGATTCCCATTACGAGGGCCTCTTTTTTGTTGACTTAGAAAAAGTTCATGTAGCAGAAGTTATATAACAATAGCAGTGGCTCTAGTCAGTCTTACTGTTGGTTACCATTTCCTTCCTACCCTTTCCCTCCCCTTCCCACTTGAGCTGATATGATTATCTTAATTGGCCAGGAATAGCTACAGCTATAGAAGTTTGAGCTTGAGGACTCCTACCAAAGAAAGACTTTCAGTTATTCACTTGGCAAACTTCAGTTAGACTACTGTGTTCTAGGCTCTGGGAATTCAAGGGAGACTAAAACACAGTCCCTATCCGCAAGGATCTTACTATCTAATAGTGGGACGCCAACAAGGAAACATAACTACAGTCCTATGTTATCAGTATTATGATCAAGTAATCACAGAGAGCTGTGAAAAGAGAGAGACCCAGAGAAGAGAAACGGATCCAAACTAGTAGTAGGATGAGACAAAGCTTTCTGGAGGTGACATCCTGGCCAAGTCTTGAGGCATGAAAAGGTGTTAGCTAAGGGGTGGTATTCCCAGCAGAGAAAGCAACATGTATAATACAAAGCAATGTATAGAAGAGAGTGTTGCAGATTCAAGAAACTGTAAGTAGCTCCAGCAGCGGTGCAGGACGTGGGCAGACAGGGAGTGGCTGAAGAGGTGAGCTGAGGTGGGTCATACAGGACCACGTATGGGGCAAGGCTTGTATTTTAGGGGAGATTGCTCTGCTTGCAGCTTAGGAAGTGGATCGTAGGAGAGAAACTACCAGAAATAGAAAGATGGCTTGGGAAGGGATTATGTTCGTCCAAGTGAAAAAAAAAAAAAAAAGAGTGACAGTAACGGTGAGGTGAGAAAATGAACTCCACAGGCCCTAGTGGGGACAGTTAGATGTGGGAAGTAAGCAAGAAGAGTCAAGGATAAATTTCCTGGCTTCTGACTCATTCGCTAAGATGAACTGATGACTTTCAGTTCATTAAGTTGGCTCTATTAAAATTGAATGGAGAAATGAACTAATTAGGTGCTGGTACCTCTATTACCTGTGTCTTTTTTGCAGGTTTGTTTTTCATTCTGCCGTGTACTGACAGCTTCATCAAAGTGGACATGAGAACTGTTTCATTCGATATTCCTCCTCAGGAGGTAAGGTTTTCATTTGCTGTGAATAACTGAGATATCATGTGTGAAAGTGCTTTATAATCTAGAGATGATTTAATGTATGCAGGAAGACGTGCGTAGGTTATATCCAACAGCTATGCCATTTTATATAAGGGACTTGAGTATCCTCGAATTTTGGTATCCGCTGGAGGTCCTGGAACCAATCTCCAACGGATACCGAGGGATGACTGTATTACAAAACATAATGTAATGTTAATGTAAGGATAACATTAATGTCGTCATTGTTGTCATTGTCATCATTTTTACTACCAGATTTCTCCTCTTTGGGTTTCTGATAGAAA